TGTTTGTGCAGAGGGATTGACAGGAAACGTTGTTCAAGTATTGAGTTAAGAGGAAAAAACAAGTAGGTGGGAGTTATTTACTCGATCAATACAATAGAATTGGTAGTACTTATTTGACCAATGGGGATTTTGTCAAAGAGAAGCTTCCATTAGAACGATGAGAGTGGCATCAACGTAAATTCAGGTGTCCAAACAAGGAGGAAGATCATTTTGTCAGCAAGATAATGTGTATTTTGAATCCTGATAGTCAAATTCTGTGTTCTTGTTAAAATTTTCAAGTTTCATGTCTTAAATATATGGCTTTATACCTATTGTGCTACGGCCTACGTAAACATTGGTGGCTGAATACTAGAAAGATACTTTTGATTAGCAGGTAAAATATATATTCTTGCAACCTAATTTCTGGGAGACTTATATTTGGGATTGCGGTATAAAAATTCATTAAAATTTATATTTAAAATTTAAAATTTATTTTTTAAAGATATTTAGATATATTAATGTCAAAAATTATTTAAAAAAAATAAAAAATATTATTTTTATCTATTTAAAAAAAAACTTTAAAAAATAATATTTACTATCCTTCCAAACATCTTAGAAAAAACCTATCCTAATAAGTATTAGCATAGCTTGAATGATATTGAACTTTTGATTGAATAAACAACCTGTTTTAAGTTTTTTATTGTTAAAAATTAATATAAATTATAATTTTGAGATTGAGATGATGTTTTTTATTTATAATATTAGAATTTAATTAATAAATGATGATGAGTTTAAGAGCCACCTAGAAAATCGTGTTAACGGAACTCACAAAATACCGATAACAGGTATGTCTTAAATTGGAAGGTGATGTGGCCACTTGACACAAGCGATTGCATAGAATTTTTGGTAGACCCTTATACACCAAATCTTTCTTACTTAATCGATGATGTCCATTCCTGTTTTCATGGTTGCTACAAGCCTTTGTGTGTGTGTGTCTCTCTCTCTCTCTCTATATATATATATATATATTATTTAAATAGTTAGTTGTTTGATTTTTTTTTTTAAATATCGGCTTGTTCATTTTTAAATCAGGTTTTTTAGCCAAATTATTTTTAATAATCAAATTTCGTGATATATCTTTAAATTATTTAGTTTTTAAGATCTTAATTGTTGCTCCAAGTATGAATTTATTAAATGAAAATCTATATAAAAAAGGGCATAAACACATCACTACTTTCACATTATAAAAATATAAAAAATATAAAATAAATATAATTTATTGTAAATACGAGTTTGTAACTACTGTAACCTTATTTTGATATCCTCTTGGCTGATTAAGTTTATATGGTATGATGACGAATCGAGGATAATTTTTTTTGTGATGATACGGTGCTCTGTGTTTAAATTCCTGGAGTAAACGTGTGAATTATTTAAAATTAATTTCATAGATGCCACCTAAAGTCAAATCAGACGAAAACAGGAGGTGGGAATTTGAAGTTTCAGTTGATAAATTATCCCAGGAAACAGAACAAAGAAGAAAATGACATCTGCAGAAAGACCAAGTCTCTGATTTGGACTCCATTTCTGCATCACCTTGTGAATTTCCTGGTGTTATCCTACCTTATTTTCCCCCTATTTTAATTATCAAATGTTCGCTGTAATTTCTATTATGTTGATTAGATTTGCTAATTCCAATCGAATAACTAATTTTTTCTTCGGGGTTTAGGTTGTTTGTCAGATGAGATCCTTCCTAAATCACCATCTCATCTCCCCTGAATATCCATGCAAGCTAAGGTAAAAATCTGCCAGAGAGTCTCGGACATTTCTTTTACAAATCCTCTGTTATTGTATGTTTTTGTCTGGTACTTTGCCGGTCCAGCCGTCAAGGAATATGAACAGCTCCACGAGGCAACAATCACATGCATGTTAAAAATGGAAGAATTCATGGTTATAATTTTCGCTCGGCCGTCAATTTTATAATTCACTGACCTGAGGCTTAACCTAGACCAAGTTGATAGGAGAACTCAGTTTTTTTAAAGTGGTGTTATTTTTTATTTTTTTTAAAAAAACCATAATTTCCTTTAAAGGTTATTTAAAAAAAAACTTAGATAAACTTGAGTAAATTTATTTGACCCATAATTTTAATCTTGAAAAGATTAATCTTCAAATCAAGCTTTATAAATTTATTTTAATTCAAAAAGGGTTATTTCGGGGAAAAAAAAGTTAAATAGATGACAACTCAACTCTTAATTAACAAACACTTGGTAAAAGATTAAAATATCATGGAAATGAAAACATAGGGATATAATATTGTCTTTTTTTAATCAGATGGACTACCTAATTATTTTTCTAATAAAACGAGGACTGAATAATAATTTAGGCAATTATTAAAGCAGAAAAGTTAAATTCTTAGCTATGATCAATTAGTTCACAAAAATCCCATAATTTTCACTATCAGTTCAAAAATTCTGCTGAGCATGCCATCAAGATTTCCTACGGCTAGTTGTATGATAAGACGCCATGGGCATCAATTTAACTATGGTGTGACCGTTTCCTAACCAGAAAGCTGTCCCTTGTTCCCATGGTCTAGTTCTGCAGTTTGAGCCTCCCTAACAGTCTGACTATTCAAGTGGGTTCTAAGAGATCATCATCATCATCATCATCATATTGATGTTTACTTCTGTCCAAGTCTATTTAAAATAAAATTAAAATAACAAAACAGGAACGGAACTAAGGTGTGTGAAGCAACAAGTGACTGGAGTTCATCATAAACAGATTCGAGGAGAAGTTGAGGTACATACCTGAAGAGGTGGAGCATTCCCAACACGCCTCCCCATCAACCTTCCATCTTACCTCGAATCCTTTTTTCAAGAGTTCTTCCAAAGCTCGCATATTCCCGATTGGTGGCCCATCAAAAGCTTGCAGATTCCAGATTGATCGCCAATCTGTTATAGAAACTGGCACTAAGACACTACGATTGCATTCCCCAGGACCAGTATCTCCTTCTTGGATATAACCACTTCGATCATTAACCTCATTTATTTTGCAAGTGAAAGGTATTGAACGAGTTATGGTTGGATCAGGAGCATCCTTGCAACCATAAATGAATGTAAAATTTTTGGAACCCTCAACATACTCGAAAACCTCAGGATTGAACGTGCTGTTCATAAACTGAGGTGAACACAATCCAACCATGTAGTCCTCTCTTGCAATCCTGAGAATTCCATCATCCTGCTTGATTCCCAAAACAATATATGCAACCTGACTGATAGTCATCTTGGCGATATCATTATTCTCACACCTGAGCTTCAATTCAGGGACGCCACAGGCAGGTGAACTGTCAGTTCCCCAGAACGGAAAACCCGCGGAAATATCCCCACACACAAACTTTTTACTACAGGCAGTGTACAGGTCATCGTTGCTCGAGGATGAAGGGACTTGAATGAAGAGCAACAATACAAGAACAAAATATGAAAGAAAAGAAAAGGCCGAGGAATTCATTCTGGCAAGAAGAAGTAGCATGTTGGAGAAATGGAATTGTGTGTTAGCAAAATTGGTTGTTTCAGGGATAGTTTCGAGTATAAAGAGATGAGTTTTGACGTGCTAATTATCAATTTCAGGTAAATAAATACATCAGAAAGGGATAGATGTGAACGCAATGCTTGGATTTGAATGCTTGGTGGACTAAAAGTTTTTAATTTATTTTGATATTGGGAAGGGCTACCACATTAATTTCTTTCTACGAGGCCTCTATTTGCAAAATGAAATCTTGGAGGCTATGCATCACAGTCTTGGTCCTGGGGACTAAAAGAAGAGAACAGAATCGGTCAAATATATTTAAGGGACACGCAAAAAAATCCAGGCATAATCTGGAAACGTATATACGTGGTTGATGATAATTGTTGTGTGTGTCCGTACCATGTGATGATAGGACCACTATATTTATTGAGAAAAAAGGTAGCTGATCCCTTTAAAATTTAATATTCGGGTACTGTAATGGCAGATTAAAAATAGAAGAGAGAAGAAAAAAATCAAGAGAGAAAAAGAGAAGAAGAGGCAATAGAGCAGCCTGCTTTTTTCCTTTGATTTCCAACTCGTTCATCGTTGGATCGGGCTGAGATTTTGACAGCAGCTTCTAGACATATTGATCTTCATTATGGACGGTTGGATCGGAGATTGGTGGTGTGGAAGCTGACCGTTTTGACTGAAAACAGGGCTGTT